TTTGTCCAAAGGAGGGCAGCAACAGCACACCAAAATGGAGTACGGCGACTCCAGTTACACACAGCAGAATGGAGTACGGCAGCTCCAGTTACAGTAAAATAATAAAGAAAAAGCAACAATTAAAATTATTTTTAAAAAAAGATGTTACAAAAAAAATACCATCTGACTACAGAGTACACGCAGCAATAAACAACAAATGAAGTCATGTTCAGGTTGGGGGGGGGGGGAGGAAGAAAAAAGGGAAGAATTTTCTTTCGCACTTTCGATGACTGTAAAACACAAATGAAAACACAAAAGCTGATGCTCTGTGTCCAACTGAAACAAAACCAAAGTAGCCAACAGGCTTCAGTTCAGGTCTGTAGGGGCACTACTGCTATCAGAACACAGCTAACTAGCTGCATTTGAGCCACCTCTTCAACATGAGGCACAGAGCAGCCTACTTCACTAAAAGAAGGCATTTCATTTGACCAAAACCAAACAAGCTAACAGCTAAAAGGCTTCACCTCAGGCCTGTAGGGGAACCACTGCTATCAGAACACAGCTAACTAGCTGCATCTGAGCCACCTCTTCAACATGAGGCACAGAGTGGCCTACTACACTGGATGAAAGCATTTCATTTGACCAAAACCAAACATGCTAACAGCTAAGAGGCTTCAGCTCAGGCCTGTACATGGACCCAACAGGAGTGGGGTCCTGACCACAAGGCCTAGCCTGCCACCTCACAACACCAAGACCACAATAACACAAATTAAAACAAAAACACAAAATTAACAAAACCAACAAAGTTAATAATTTACAACACCACAAATCAACATACAAACTCAAAGAAAAGAATGAGAATAGGGTTAGCATTAGCTTAACCAAAAATCTAATCAGGTCAAACAAAAGAAGAGGTTGGTCCAAACAGACAGAAAATGGAGTGAAGAGGACAAATCTAACAAATATAAGAACATAAGAGAAGAAGCAGTACATGACCTACCTGAACAAGCACAGACAACCTCACCAAGGAGCAGTTAGAGAGAGAACTGAGCCATTTGGAGGCCTTATATACTACACCTGGGTAAGGGGGAGGGGGTAAGTGATGAGCTGGGGGAGGGGCTAAGTGACGAGCTGGGGGAGGGGCTTAGGGATGAGCTGAGGAAACTAACTGAGATGTTTGTACAACCTTCACTACCCTAAGAACTAAAACATAGAATCTTATTCTGGGATGTGTAAAATGACAACAAGGACTTACTTTACTATGACTTTCATAATTAAAAATAATTTTAACTTTCAATAGACTTTCAAATAATTAAAATATAAAAGTAGCCAAAAGTGGCTTAAAGTTTAATTTTAGACACTAAAACATGTGACTACATTTAAATCATCTGTTCAGGATTTAAAACTACCAATTATTCATATATATATATATATATATATATATGTATAAATATATATATATATGGGGGGGTGTGGCTGTTTGAAGACTCATTAAAATGTGTCCACTAGATGGTAGCATTTGACCAAAACTACAGGGTCCATTTCAATGACCCAACTAAAATCAGACAGTTGAAATGACGGGAAGTAAAGATGTTTTACATCAATAAAAAAATGCACATGTCCGTTTGAAGATGACGTATTGAATATCTGTTTATTCCATGGCAGCATTTGAAACACAGAATAACTGACAATGTAGATGTGATTGACAACAGACCACTCCACCACCACCCCTTCCTCTATCTTCCATACACCAATCAGACCATGTACCTTGGTGTCAGTCTTCTAATCAGCAGAGACCCCAACCCAGAGGCCAATCAGGGCTCTCCAGGTCCCACTCCTCACATGCTACTTCAGGAGCGTTGGAAAATACGCTGTCATTCTCGACTCCAGCAGGTTTAACAACTGGACCCTGTCAGCGGTAGCACACTTTTCAAACAAAGAAGTCGGTATGTAATCAACCTAAGAAAGACTTGTTCAACTGAAGCCGTGAAATTTACTTCTAAATATCGAGTAAGTATGCATAAACATAAAGAACAGTCATGTTCAATTGGTTTTGACCTAATTATTTTGGACTTTTTCGTTAAATGTGCATGTCCTCCCACAGAGCGAGACCGAACACAGTTCTATTAAATTCAGTTGAAGTCACTGATGATCCATCGGTGACTTGAACTTCTGTCCTGAGCCATAATAACAGCGAGAGGCAGATCTATTTTCTTAAAAGGTTTTAATTTAGTGACTGCTGATCACGGACGTCGGTTCGTGGGTGCTGCGACCCGGAAACACCCAGAGAAGCGGCGTCTATGGTGCTGATAATGTGAGGTCGGGTCATTCAAACATTACATAGTTCGGCGATAGAAACTGGAAGAGGGAATGTCGACGGTTGCGAGAGGCAATATTCATAACAGCCTGCAGAGGGTGGAAATGTACAGCTAATATTATTGCAATATAATATTCTATATGCCATTATTTAGCAAGGCGTGCTTGAGCTATTACACGACGGAGTCTAAATCATTTGCCTATGTTTAAGAAGGTTAAATATGTTTATTTATTTACCAGAATGTGTTGTATTCAGAATATAGAACGAAATATACAATTACTTTATTTACTTTTTGTCCAAACCAAATATATATATATATACAAATATACTGTGTATATATATATATACAAATACCTATATATATTCATCTCTGAGCACTCACACATACAGTAAACACAGTGAGTTGACTGTAAGACATGACAATAGAAAGAAACAGATTCTTCTGTAGCCTCTCTAAGCTCGGTCCAGTCCGCAGATGTCAAAGGTCATAAAAATGTCTGTCTGTCCATGTCTGGTGTTTACCGAAACCTCAAACAACCATGCAAGCACGCAGCGTCGAGCTTAGCCACAAAACAGCTCAGCTGATTGGAAAAATGCAGGCCGCTACCCTCCGTCTTCGTGCAGCCAATCCAGCTAGAACCGTTGTATATCCGGAATTTCGTTGCCCCCCCCGCCCCCCACCCGTACAATGACAATAAAGGCTATTCTATTCGATTTTATTCTATTCTGTATCACAGAGGTAGACTGCAGGGGATCCGCCGACACACTCCACACAGCGTCCTTGTAGCCAACAAAACCCAATCCTCTCTATCAGTTGTCACCGCCAGTGTTGCAGAAAGCATAATGCGGGAGTTTACGGAGGAAAATGCGCGTGAAAAAGAAACTTTATCAGATCTACTGCCGTGTACAACACGTCTTTGTTGCACTCATCGATATTTCCAGCACAATACTTTCTGATGGTTCTGGAAATGTTACAATAATTTAACGATAGCACATAATTCCACAATTAATTATGGTATAGAGTAATGGTGACATCACTCATTCAGGCTGGTGAATATCCGGAATTGCGTGCCCCCCCCCGCCCCCCACCCGTACAATGACAATAAAGGCTATTCTATTCGATTTTATTCTATTCGATTTTATTCTATTCGATTTTATTCTATTCTGTATCACAGAGGTAGACTGCAGGGGATCCGCCGACACACTCCACACAGCGTCCTTGTAGCCAACAAAACCCAATCCTCTCTATCAGTTGTCACCGCCAGTGTTGCAGAAAGCATAATGCGGGAGTTTACGGAGGAAAATGCGCGTGAAAAAGAAACTTTATCAGATCTACTGCCGTGTACAACACGTCTTTGTTGCACTCATCGATATTTCCAGCACAATACTTTCTGATGGTTCTGGAAATGTTACAATAATTTAACGATAGCACATAATTCCACAATTAATTATGGTATAGAGTAATGGTGACATCACTCATTCAGGCTGGTGTCATTTAGGTTTGACCTTGATCAACTAACTGTTAACTAACTGTTAACTAACTAACTGTTAACTCTCCAGCAACAGGTCGATGAAAGAACATTGAACACTGATCTGCACTTCATTTATTTATTGGTGACAGTACTTTACATGTTTAGGCTTTACACACAAACCAAAATAAATAAATAAAATAAATATTAATTTCACAGCTACTGATCTTCAAATGAATATTTAGACTAATGAGTCTGTCCAGACTTAATCACCACACACACACACTAACAACACTTCACTGGAGCAGTCACAATGAAAATCTAGGACAACGTTTACACCTAAACACTTGAACTCTATTCCTGTTTCAGGAGGAAGAGGGGGGACAGGAGGAAGAGGAGGGACAGAACAACTATTTATTATGGAATCTGTTTGAGGAGTAAAAATCAAATAAAGTTGGAATATACACTCAGTCAAAACCACCTGGACTAGACTGTAACTGTGACCAGTAGATGGTTAACATGCAGAGGTGAGAGGAGAGGAAAGGAGTTTTACTCTAAACGACGAACGTAGGTGTCTGGGAAGAGTCCTCTCTGAGAAGCCGTCCCCAGTGTCATCCAATCACTTTCCTTTATTCCTGTCAGCCAACCAGCTTCCTGTAAACCAGCCCATGGTTACAGTACCATCAACAGCGCAGGGGTTTCTTTCCTCTGTTCTGACGTTCTTACCAGGTCTTCTACTGAAGCTGTAGGAACCACCAGAACCACCTCACCTCTTTTCAGCTCCAGCTCGTCCGAATTTGCAGCTTCAAAGTCATGCATCGTCTCCACCTATAGGAGAAACTTTGTTACGACATCCTCAGGCACTTGAGCTTCATCAGCAGCAGGTTTGAGTTCAAGACCATTTTCTCTCATGCCGTGTTCTGGATTTCTTTGGTTCTCACCCTAAAGAGGAAGTCATCAGGAAGTCCAGATGGACTCACGTCACTGACGTTCTGGTTCTGACCAAGGACTCCGTTGTCACCGATACCAGAAGGGGACATGATGTCAGCGTCACGATCGTCATCACCCTCGTTACTGGAGGCAGGTTCGATGACCACAGATGGAATCGACATGATCTCCTTAGAAACAGAACAATTATTGATGACTGACTGATTATGAATTATTGTATATTGAATGATCTCTGATTATTGATGTAATTTGACATCATATTTATTAGGGTTTGGTTTTTTAATCTTAATATAATTATTACATCTTTTTTTACACATTTTAAATTGTAGTCTGTGTTTCTGACCATTGTTTGTCTTTTTTTATTAACTCGTGTTTGTAACTAAACTGTAAAAATAGTTACTGCTGCAGTTTCACTGCTGTTTGATTCTCCTCTGTCAGAAACCTGCAAAGAAAAGAACATTTAGACAATGCTAACGGACAAAGTAATTAACAACTATCTATAATATATTAACAACTATCTATAATATATAGATGCAACTACACACCTCAGTGTGCTGCTGCTGCTGCTCCAAGTTTACAGCTTCATCTGTTGACTTTAAATAAAACAAACACACATCACGTTTTTATTAATCACTGAATCAACAAGGAAGAGTGAGGATGAAGATTCCACTCACTTCAGGTTCTTTCTCTTTTGGAGCCTCTGAAGATTCTGCTGGATGTTCTTCAACAGCAGGGGGCGTAATAGCTTGGTCTATGTCCTCGGTGGTCCTTGGCTGTTCTGAAGCCTTCAATGATCAATTGTTAACATTAGTCTCTTGCTTTTTTAAAATGTTGCTTGTTTCTCTGTCTTTGTATCATTTACAGCCTGAACCAAAACCAGTTAGCGAAACCCTGATCTCAGGATTACCGAAACCCTTGTTTCCAACATGGAGGACCGCATTGAGTCACATGCTTCAGATTTTAGCTCAAGGTCAAATACAACCTGCTGAATAATGAAGAACAAACTCACCCTTTGATCAAAGTCTGCAAATGATGACTGAACAGAGGCATCCTGCAAAGACACATGGTGAGTTGGGGGGTGGGAGGGGGCACCAAGACAAAGATGAAGAAGGTCATAGAACTGAACCCCAGGAACTTCTGACAAACAGAGTCACTAAGCCTGTGAGTGGAGGTTCAGCTCTTCTACCACACAGGGAACTTGGTGAATACTACACACTGAATACTCTACTGCAGTGGTCCCCAACCCATCGGCCGCAGATCGGCACCAGTTCGTGGGCCAATTGGTGCCGGGCCGCACATAAAGAATTCATAACTTACATTATTTCCCTTTTATTCATTATCTAATTCTGAACGATGTTTTATTTTGAAAAGTGACCGGATTCTCTCCTGCCTCATCTGAGACAAGATTCTTGACTCGGTCACGTGTCTTACCAACATCCACTACCTTCTTAGAAGGTTCTGCTCTGGCCACTAACACCTAATACATTACAGCTACATTGACCCCCTAACCCGAGCTAGATAAATAAAATGAATGAGAAGAAGAGCCTCCGTCTTCAAAGAAGAAGAAAGCTGCATTTAACAGACAATTCCAGGAGTCTTACTGGAAATCTGGAGTTATTACCACAGGTTGTTCCCACGCACGGAGCCCGCATTGCATTATACGTGGCGAGCAGTCCTCTGATGAGGCGATGAAGCCTTCAAAACTGCTCCACCACCTGGAGAACAATCGTTCTGCATTAAAAGACAAACGCAATGGTACGAGGACGCTGCTAACAAAGTTGACTACACAGCGGATTAACGCTAATTATTATATGTAGTGCCAGAAAATACCAGTTTTTATGTCTGCCAATTCATTTATTTAAAGGCCGGTCAGTGAAAAAACGTTCAGACATTTTACCGATCCGTGGCGCAAAAATTGGAGACCACTGTTCTACTGCACTGCACATGCTCGGTCAGCAATGTCTAACCTCATGGGAGCAGAGGGGCACGACTGGTTCTGTTCTTGGGTAGACCCAAGAGGAAGTACCTTGTCTTTTTCGAGTTCTTGGAACAATTTTTCAAGTCTCTGGTTCACAGCTTCCTCTCCATAAATCTTGGAGTTTCCTGGAAAATGTCTGTCTGTACTTTCATCTGCTCCTCTGCACCAGGTTCCAAAGAAGGCAGGAACTTCAGTCCCTAAAGAAGCTGCTGAGAAAGCTGTGTCTGAATCCCAACCAGCCCAATTACCTGGGACTGGACCCTCACCTGCTCCTGATGTCTGCACAAATTGATCCAAACCAAACCTGTGGCCCTGGGCCACAGATTGTGACAAGTCTGAATGAAAGTTTGCTCCCTGTTTTTTCACCAAATCAAACGCACCTTCTCTATGTGTTTCAGAAAAAAGATCAAAATCAAACACACCTTCTCCCTGTGTGTCAGAAAAAGGATCAGAATCAAACGCACCTTCTCCCTGTGTTTCAGAAAAAGGATCAGAATCAAACGCACCTTCTCTCTGTGTTTTGGCCAAGTTCTTTTCTCCACTCACTCCAGTCTCAGGATATTTTTCATCTGAATCACTAACTCCAGCCCCCCGCCCGTCAAATGACACTTCCTCATCTGCACTTTCCCATCCCCCAACCAGAAATCCATCTGCTGACTCAGCTGTCTCATACTCAGACCCAGAAGCATCTGGAGACCTAGACCTGGTCTTCTCACCTAATTGGCTGGTAACAATGACTCCTGGTGTGGATGTCCTGTAGTTCTGCAGCACTGACCCTGAACTTGGACCAGTTACTGACACGGAACCAAATTCTAAAGCCAAACATGAGCTTGACTCTGCTCCGACACTCGATACTGTCTTTTTCTCATCTTCAACTCCGTCTGGAGCAGGATGACGGCTGAAGGTCTGCTCAAACTTTCTAACCTCATCTCCATCAGCTTTATCGTCTTCATCTTCCTGAGGGGCTGAGGTAGTGTCTCCAGCAGAATGAGAGCTGTCGGCCTGGGACCAGTCTTGTGGGGTAGCAGCAGTGGGAGGGGCTTCGGGGGTTGAGGATTCACCGTTTGTTGCCATGGAACTGAAGTCAGCAGACCAGTCAGCAACAAAGCTGCCATCTGTTGCCTGTTGGAGACAGGAGTGAAGAAGGAGCGATGGTTTTAGGATGTTTCATGTTGGGGTGTACATACATTTTTGGCTTGGGAGGTCAATTTCAACTATACAATGATAACATTAAATATATTTACCCGTACAAAGTGAATATAATATACACCATATGTTGAGGAACAGTGGCACGGCACTGTATAATCACTGTAGATATATCTATCTTGATTTTGATCCTGCGGGACTCTTTCTGCGATCCATTTGTAAACCACGCCTGGTCTTATACATATAAATATTGGTCTTGATGTTTACATTAAATAGTTAGTGGGTTACAGTTCTAGTTTTATGTAACATTGTGATGTCATAGTGATGTTAGTAAATACTTACAGGCTGTGATACTTGACAGTTTGCCTGAACAAAAAATTAGGGAAAAAATTAAATCAGTTATATTTAGTCATTTCATTTAAATAAAGAATGTGTGAATATGAGCTGATCAAACACGTTACCGACCGACCACATCACGTCCCAGGGAACTGCTGTCTGAAAGGAGCACAACAAGGTTTGAGTCTGATCAGTTCTTGGTTCTGTGTGGGTGTGACAGATGTCACAGTGCTGATGTGGACAATACTGACTACACTGAGCAGTGTATTAATCACAGTCATGAGTGCAGCCATAAACAAAATAAACTGTCATTTTTCATAACTTTGGATGTTTGTGTGAAGTTATCATGTTATGTGTTGACCTTAAAAAATTTTTTTTGTGTTTTAAAAACTAAATAAATTCTTAAGACTGAAGCTTCACTGATTCAGCTCCACTTCCTGTTTCCCTTACCCGTCATCAGCTGATCATCTCAGTCAGTGAAGGTTTGTTGTTGCAATCTCCAACATTTTAGTGTTGTCAGCCTGTTAGCATGTTAGTGCATTAGCATTTTACTGACAGATGCTATACCTGAGGAATGGGTGAAACACTTTCGTCAGGCTGGAAGTCATCAAAGTCCAGGTCCAACAGAGACTCTCCGGGTCGTTCATTAGGCTTAGTTAATCAATAAAAAGACGTCATTCAGTGTTCATAAAACAAACAGAGCAACAGTCACTCTTTACTGACCTGCGATGGTGACGGTGCGGGTAAAAACTCGCCTCCAAACAAATCGATGATCTGCTCTTCAGCCACTTCCTTGGTGGGCGTGACCTTTGGAGGTGGGGGCACAGGCGGACCCTTTTTAAACTGATGACATCACAATAGAGCTTTAGGTTATATATTTTAAAAACATTGGTCTAAATTACTATATTATTTTATCTGAATGTACACATGCTAATGCTAAGTATTTACATGTGCTTCTATATAATAGTGAAAAGTAGACAAATGATCATGTGACCAACAGCAGGATAATTATGAGTTCTCTTTGACTGATGTTTATTTCTACTGTAGCTACAGGGAATGGAATGTGTGTAAAGACTGGTCTTCTACTGATCTCTACTGTCTTCAACTTACATCTACTGACATCTACTGACATCTAAAGTCCTCTACTAACCTCTATTGTCTTCTTCTGTCTTCTACTGTCTTCTACCGTCTTCTACTGACATCTACAGTCCTCTACTGACATCTAATGACCTCTACTGACATCTACTGACCTCCACTGACATCTACTGTCTTCTACTGACATCTTCTGTCTTCTACTGACATCTACAGTCCTCTACTGACATCTACTGACCTCTACTGACATCTACTGTCTTTTACTGTCTTCTACTGACATATACTGTCTTCTACTGTCTTCTACCGTCTTTTACTGACATCTACAGTCCTCTACTGACATCTACTGACCTCTACTGACATCGACTGGCCTCTACTGTCTTTTACTGTCTTCTACTGACATATACTGTCTTCTACTGTCTTCTACCGTCTTTTACTGACATCTACAGTCCTCTACTGACATCTAATGACCTCTACTGACATCTACTGACCTCTACTGTCTTCTACTGACCTCTACGGACATCTACGGACCTCTACTGTCTTTTACTGTCTTCTACTGACCTCTACTGACATCGACTGGCCTCTACTGTCTTTTACTGTCTTCTACTGACATATACTGTCTTCTACTGTCTTCTACCGTCTTCTTCTGACATCTACTGTCTTTTACTGACATCTACTGTCTTTTACTGTCTTCTACTGACATCTTCTGTCTTCTACTGACATCTTCTGTCTTCTTCTGACATCTACTGTCTTTTACTGACATCTACTGTCTTTTAGTGTCTTCTACTGACATCTACAGTCCTCTACTGACATCTAATGACCTCTACTGACATCTACTGTCTTCTACTGACATCTACTGTCGTCTACTGACATCTACTGTCTTTTACTGTCTTTTACTGACATCTACTGTTCTTCTACTGACCTCTACTGACATCTACTGTCTTCTACTGTCCTGTCCTGTGTTCTGTGTGAACCAGTCATTTACAAACATATGTTTGTTCAACGACAAACATGGGTTAACAGTTGAGATGTGTGGTCACATGACCTTCAGATCTTGTGACCCAAAGGTCATGTTCAACAGTAGTAATGAATCTGCTTCTATTATGTTCTTTGTTTGACAACACAACACAAAGATTTTGTGACAAAGTCTTTTCACTCACCAAAGGTTCAAAGGTCATGAGAAGTTTGAAAAACAAAAACACTAAATTATTATTATCAAAAACACTTATCAATCACAGTTTGAGTTTGAGTCAAATGTGGGCAGCTGGGGTCAGAAGGGGACAAGGGGGGTGTACCTGGGTTGGAGATTTGGGCCGTGGTGGTCCAGGTGAAACAGGGCGGAGCGTGTGGTTGGAGCTGGTGTCGGGACTCTCAGGTGGACTCATATCTTCTGGAGGTGACGGGGTTCTGGCGAGTCGTAGTGGCCCTGAGTCACTAAACAACATGAATGAGAAGAATGTCAGCAGAGGACCACAGGGTCGCTAGTCTGCTGTGTGGCCCAGCTGGTACTGACCTAGGAGCTCCTTGGATGGTAAACATTTTATCGGAATGCTGCTCGCCCAGTTGCGTCATAACCTCGTACAGTTGCTTGCAAACCTGCCACAGATGATGTCAGTACATGAGGTCTATGAGATCACTGCTTGATTAAAAAGATACTCACTAGAGAAATTTCTCGATGAAACTTTGTCTCCAGACTTGTCACACTCTTGAAGGTGCCGATGTAAAATCCAACACGACTGTTAAAAAACAAAGGAAAAAACATGGGTAAGCTGAGCCTTGATTAGTGTGGCCTGAAGTCCATGCTCTTTGATTTGTCAGCTCCTGGGGCGTGTCTGACCTGTCCCAGAGTGAAGGCAGTTCATCCTGAAGACCCACATCTAGCTCATCAAACACTCTCTGAGCCTTCTTCAGTTCTTCCTCTGCCTACAAACAGAGTCAAACTTTTTACCTGCTGGAGGCTCTTGTCTGGTTTACAGCCAGTCCAGAACAGGATCGCGTTGGTGACTTTTCTTAGACTTGACTCACCTTCATCATCTTCCTGTCGTTCTTCATTCCAGCGGCCTGCAGAGTTTCCAGGTGATGTCGAGCGCTGTCATAATCAATCAGTTTGCGACTTCTCTTTGCCACGCGAGTCTGAAAGATCAAAGGTTTTCACTGCCAAACGTTCAATCATTCATCTCAGCCTCAACATCGCACACAGACAGAGAATGAGCGATTTGAAAATGACCGACGTGAAAATTTCCAGTACTAACCACAGATGTAAGCGTTGCTATGGTTGCTGTCTTAAACATTCCTTGAAAATAATTTCTGTGTAAAAGTGTGTATTATACAAATGATGTGGTTTTAGAGCAGGGAGAAGGTCAATGGTCCGAGGTTCTCTCTTACCTTCAGGTCGGGGAAATGCTGCAGATACTCATCAAGATTCAACAGTGTCGAATCCACTAGTTTGTTATGAAAGTCTTCCCAGAATGCATCACAGTCCTGCAGAAAACACTGATAATGTGAGCCAGGAATCATGGAATTATTTGTCTCAAACAGAGGGTCACATGACCCTGTAATGACTCTGACCTTCCCAATGCTCATCACTTCCTCCTGTCCAAACCAGTCTGGTTCATAGACTTCGTGTAGAGACTTGGTCAGGTTTATGGAGGCCTGCTGCATTCCTGTGGGGATCAGAACCAACTGGCAATGAGTTCCCTTACCAGGTGTCACAGATGTGCACAAGACACCATGTAGCTGAGACACCATGTAGCCTGATTAACACCAATCTTGTTCTGCCCCACTGTTGTACAAGTTTATCTCTGTTAACATCTGTCTCTGTCCTAATCTAATCCAATGTTTAATTAAACACAAACACACACACCATGCCAATCCACGTTAGGGTTAGCTGAGTCTGAGCAGACAAGTTATTCACCTTTAATTGCAGTTAAGTAAGATTTCATTTCCCTCTGGAGCCGAGAGCCTTCAGTCTGAAACACAGAAGAAGAAATCAACATCTCGGGTTGTGTTGTTGTCATTGTTGTTACATTGTAACATTTTTGTACGTCATGTTTGTTGCTGTGTCAGTGATTAAGACTCGGAAAAAACCCTGTGACCTGTGACCTAGTGTGGACTCACTTCCTGCCTCCTGAAGTTCAGAACCACTTGTTCAAACTGTTCGTCTTTGGTCTCATCAGCTTTTCCCAGTTTCTGCAATACCTGAGGAGAAACAGAGCAGAACCATTTTCAGCTCCACGGAAGGTTCAGTGCATCAGGGATATAGACAGCTCATCCCATCAGAACCCTGTCAGCACCAGAACACTGAGATCATCAGAACCAGGAACCATTTTAGAGCCACAGAACATCCAGACTCTAGGCTAAGATCAGATTTGTCACCAACACAGGAGCCAATCATTTCAGAACTGGAGTTCAGACCAGCAAACTGTTTCAGTACCATAGACAGTTCTATCAGACCGACTAACATTGTTCAGTACCTTGGACAATTCTTGTTCATTGCGAGTTTTAGGATTCAGCTTTAGCCTTCATCCTTGATAATGTTGAGAGTGACGTAAGAAAAACGCCATCTAACCCTTACTGACAGTCTGTCGTTGCACAGATGACGTAATCATTCGGCCAATAGGCAATGACCTTTAATAACCTGGCTGATCGTTTAATCACAAACTCAATGTAAATCACTCTATAAAAAAGAGCAGAAAAAAACGAAGGCTTGAAGACGTTTTTTTCTGCCTCGTTCTTTCATACACAACCTTCTAATACTCTCGTCATCTGCTGCTCACGTTCTCCACGTCACTGCCAGTTCTCCTAATCTCCAGCCTTCACCTCTTACCTTCTCTTGTGCTCGATTCAAACGTTTCTGGACGTTTTTTGCGAAAATTCCCGTTTTAATCTCCGCCATATCGACTGCAGAGGAGAGAGATTAACGAAATGAGCGACCGACGGTGGAGGATTGTGCGCGTGCGCGTGTTAGAGGCGGGGCCTAAACGCTCGCTCCACAGTTCTGCTACAGCACTAATTTATGCAGTGGGATGCGTTGAAGGAATTATCCCAATAGGTAGAGTTGTTCGACCTCGAATAGTTTATGACATAAACATAGACACAATTTTGCACAAACACTGCATTGACTTAACATTGGCTGTGATTGCGTTCACATCGCCGCCATATTGGTAGGGTTATTCCTCGATCAAACATTAGAGAAATGTCTCTAAAATGCAGGGCTGCTACTGTTGAAGAAGACATTTGACTGTCTTCATATTTGTTCATCAGCTGTTTATGTTTCCATGTTGGAAAATTCTTAATGCAGCCTCCACACAAAGAACAAGGGTCTACCATGGTGATATTTATTTTGGAGCATTCACCTTTGTTGAGTTGAAGCCGTAATTATTGTTCTATCACTGTGCTAAAAGAAAAATAGTTCCATACACTTGTTAGGCTGTGTCATGTGACAGTAAGAGTGAGGTAAGTGGAACGATGAAGATAGAAGGAGCAGAGGAGGTGTGGATGGAGGGGTAAAAATACTGAGGGCCAAACATCTAGGGGTGAAGAAAAGGTCGAAGCCAGAGGGGAATGGATGACGATGAGTGTCAGGAGTGAAGTGTAAGAGAAAAACAGGAGGTGGAGGAGATGAGGGCCTTGTATATGTGTGTGTGTGTGAGTGAGTGTGTTTCTGGTATTCGCATTGGGGTGCTGTAGAGACTTTTCCAGAGCTCTACTTCAGGGTTAGGGTCAGATTAGGGTTAGTGTTGAGACCAGGTGTATCTTTGTATAATTAAGGGTTTGTGTTTGGGGCTAGAGAACACATCATGCTAGATCACACAAAATGTGTGTGTGTGTGTGTGTGTGTGTATAAACCTGTGGGAGGAGTTAAACAGAGAAGTAGAGCAACACAACATTCAGATGAACCCAAAGGAGAAGCAGAGATCTCCTCTCTGTGACCAACTCCGTGTGGAATGCTAATAAAATTCTTCTAAATCTCCTGGAACCTTTGAGCAGCTGCAGCGCCTCACACTGGTCCATTATGTCTTGTCTTCTCTTTGGCCTGATTCTCATTCTTCTCACTGATGCCTCACTGACAACGTCTCCTTCTCCTCAAGTGGACTGTCCCTCCTGTGTTCTGATAGAGACCAACTGGACCCACTCATCCCTGTCAGACCAGAGCCACCTGGTGGAGATTATTAAACAGCACATCCTCAACATGCTGCATTTGAAGGCTCGACCCAACCTGACAAGACCAGTCCCACGCATCGCATTGCTCAATGCTGTTAATAAGTTGCGTACAGGTCACATGGCTGGGGACGATAACGTAGAGATCCTTGAACAGAGTAGAGTTGCCACTGGGTCAGAACCTGCTGGACCACAGGCTGAGATAATCAGCTTTGCAGAACCAGGTGAGTTTGGCCCTGACGTCAAAGTGGTTTTGATCCTATTGGTTTACAAACCAATGACATGATTAATCGTGTGACCAATAACATAAGCTATAAAAGTAATTGCATGTAGACCATTCCATTGGTTCCTCTGTGTGACCTCACAATGTGTCACACATTTAATGGTTGAGGTCTGATCTGTAAATAACAGTTATTGAGCATAAACATGGAGTGGTGAACACTAGGGAGCGGGGGCCATTTCTGACCCAAAGTCTTTTCTCTATTTTATTCCAAAAAAGAAACAACGCAGCCGCTTAATGAAGGACAGGGGTCGTAGGTCATGCTCATTATTGAATTGTCTCCCCAGGTGGTTCTGCAGACACAGTGACCTTTGACCTCTGGCAAAATGGCAGTACGACAGTGGAGAAGGCGAAGGTCTGGATCTTTATGAAGACAAATGAAGGGAAAAGATTGAAGGCCAGAGTGATGCTGCAGCTGCTGTGGCAGTTCCTCCATGAAGAGGAAGAGGAGGCCATGCTTCAGGAGATGGTGGATACACATGGTAGTGGCTGGCACGCCTTCACCGTCACTCGTGTCCTCCAGACTCTGCTGGACACCAGGATGCACTCTGTGAGGCTACGTGTTTCCTGTCTGCTATGAGGCTGGAGTATGGCCCATCCTGATGCCCCCAGGTGAGCCTGCCATAAGAGCTGAAGACACCCAGCGACCTTTTCTCATGGTGGCTCTGCGGGCTCAGGAGGCAGAAGAGCAGAGGCGAATGAAACGAGGTTTGGAATGTGACGGAAAAATAAACCTGTTTTTATGTGAATTTCAGAGAGATCGGCTGGAACGACTGGATTATTGCTCCATCAGGTTACCATGCCAACTTCTGTGAGGGTGACTGTCCCATCCAGCTGACTGGCCACAGCCAATCATCTCTTTCATTTCACACTGCCATCATCAACCATTATCGACTGGGAGCCAGAGGTCCATTGGAAAACGTGCGTTCCTGCTGCGTGCCAACACGTTTCCGCGCCGTCTCCATGCTTTACTATGACAAAGAGCAGAAAATTGTTAAAAAAGACATAAAAAACATGGTGGTAGATGAGTGTGGTTGCTCATGACCTGGACCACCAACCCTGGTTTTGACACTGCTAACATCAGTGTTTACAACAAAATATTCGCACATCACAACAAAGAGAACCATTATTGAAGGATGGCAGAGCCAGAAACGTCTTCTCTTTTTTTGTTAGTTAAGTTTGGAAGAGGAGGGATTTGAAAGAAATGGATGAACAACAATAACAATATCTATTCCTTTTGTTTTGGTGCTGCATATTTGAGGGATTGATAAAGTTTTTTCTATGTATCTAATGATTTGGGCAGAGAAACAAATAGAAATTGCTCTTGGTATAGGGAAGATTTATTTTTAAACATTCATTTTAAAAAACAACTTTATTTACTGACCCAACACAGAAGTATGAAGTGAGTGGTGAATGATCTGAAATGAACTTGAGTTCATTTGAGCTCAGAGTTTATTAAAGGTTTAATCAGAGAGTTGACAGAAATTTCTTAAACAAACAGTCTCAGTTCGTTCACCTTCACATCAGCGGAAATGATCTGCTACAGCACGTCATGTTTGGTCACAGACACCAGAGCCCGCAGGTTTGAAGATCAACAGTTCACCTGATTATGGCAAGCCATCTGAACATTTTAACGTTAGGCTGGATATGGATTGCAGATATCTTTAACTCTAACACTAAAGTCAAAAACATTGTCAATATGCTTTGTCAAAAAGAAAATGTTAGCTATCCACAATGACATTCTTCTTAGGGCAAATGATGCCACCTTTGGCCTTCATTTGTATGGGTTTCATAATTACAGATATTCACAGCGTAAGTTACAGATATCTGCAACTGAAGTATAGATATCTGTAATTCTGGTCTAATCTACAATTTGATTCTGACTAGTCATAACTCAAGTTCAAGATATCTTTTTAACTCCTCAATTCAAGAAATCTACATTTCTACTTCTTTACAGATATCTTAAATTACAATTTGACTAGTCAACATTATGTTGTCAATATCTCTACCTGGGATAGAGTTTGGGATAGTCATAATTTAGTTGTACATATCTCTTATCAACTTTAGTGTTGTGTGTGTATGTGGCAAGCCGTTTTAACAACCCGTTATCTGTAATTGTTTTGTCAAAACTGCAGATAGTATCTGTCGTTTCGTGTAAAATGACGTCACAGATATCTTAAATGACAATTCCCGCTATCCAAAATGAAATTACGCCCAGTCGGAAAGACGTTGTTGACATCAACATGGTCAATTCCTGAAAAACTTAAAACTTAGCGTTTAATTATTAAAACGGCTAGCCATACGCACACGCTATCACAACTGGGTGTGTATTTGTGATGGCGTCTATGGGGGACTACTATCTTCATTGCGTTACACGCTCACGTATACTGTCTCTCACATGTCCACTACTACCCGTGGCCGTTAGGTTGCGCTATCATCTTCAGGAGGGCGTAATGGGTGGTGCGTATTTCCGGATCCGGTCACAGTTTGTTGTTTTGTAGTGAAGGGATTTAGACTGAAACTCAAATTCAGGACCGGGATCAGGATCAGACACGTACCGGCACCGGCGTTTTCTCTAGTTATGTACCGAGCTCCAATAAGACCACAGCGGAGCCCCGGAGGTCCACCTACGCCTGGAAGGTTTCCGCCACCGAGTTCCAGCTGGTCTCCCGGAGTTCCTTTCCCATACAGAGGCTCTGGGAATAGAGGCCAGTCACCGGTCTACTCCCCGCGATCCAACCAAAGATCCTGGGATGGATCTCCGGCCCGATTCAGCGGATCCCGAGGATTCGGTGTGTCGCCGCGATACCGATGGGGTGGTTTCAGAGGGCCTCGGTCCTTCAGTCCCGGTTCATCTCCAAAGTTTCAGGTGACATAAATAAAAACTTCCAGGTTAAAACGTGGAGAATATTTGCCTTCATTGAATATCTCTCTCTCTCTCTCTCTCTAAAAGATGTACTGTATATTTATTGATAACATTGGCAGTGGTGATGGAGGTAGTGATGTGTGTGTGCATATATATGTATATACTGTATATGTATATATATATGTACATATATACACACACATTATATATATATATGTATATATATATATATATATATATATTGTTTTGTTTTGTTTTAGGTGCAGTCTTCAGATCCTTCCATAGAAAAATACTTCAGTCCATCGATGTTGAAGGATCCGTGGGCAGAGCTTCAGCCAGTCAGACCCACAGATATCACAAGGGAAACAGCACACCATGTGACAAGAAATGATTTAAAGACAACACCAACAACTTCATGTCCAGGTGTCAGCTCTACAAATAGTAACTTCTGACCTATGTAAGTTTGAAGGTCAAAGGAGCAACAGGGATCTGGACATCTGTGAGCTTGCTCGGATATGTGGATCTCCGCAACAACCATATGGGCTCAAATCCTGAGTTTCAGCCGTAGATAGAGAACAAATGCCTCATCTGTCGCCCCCAGTGGTTCTACATAAAAAGAGCAGGAGAAACGGATGTAAATTTGTGTCCAAAACCTCTTCTGGTTCATTTGAGGGGAGGTTCCCAGGTTGGTGTGTTTGTTCAACCTACAACAACCCACTACTACTGCCCTAAAATTTGTGATCGTGATTTAAAAAAAACAGATTGCTCACTTTATGATGATTGTCTCTTTAACACATAAGCTCCGCCCCTTTACGTTTATGCTTCAGATCACACAGGAGCAGTGACTTCGGTTGTGGAGTTTTTTAGAAACATTTTAATTAAATGTTTTTAGCATTTTTTAAATGTCTCATTTAATAAAGATTTTAAACGAAACTGTGTGTCTTTTACTGTATAATAACAAATTACAGCGTTTCTATTTAACTTAGTGAATCATTTATTATGCATTTCTGAACAATATCCTTATCGCTGTGACTTTCTCCTTCCTTTGGGAGGCAGTGTTGCAGCATCTTCATGTTCCGCTGAAGAATGAATGTGGCGGAAGTGCTGTCTCGTGTTTCCGGTGTGGATGTGTGACTATAGTGTTCTGGTGGTGTTATTTTACTCCCGGGTGCTGCGCCGTTCTGGTTGTCGGAGATGGGACTCTTTGCGGCTCCGGTTCTGTATCTGCTGGTGGCTGCAGTTCCACCTCTAACGGCCTGGGAGGACCTGGAGCTGTTGGACCTGGTGGAGGAAATACCCCAAAACTTCTACGACTTCCTGTCCGTTGAGCAGGTAGGTGCTAACGAATGAACGTCTCCATGGTAACCACGCGGTGCCACGCGCACATTGAGCCCAGATGAGGTACTGGTTTGCGATTCTTTT